TTATTTTTTGAGACAGAGTTTCATCTTGTTGCCCAGGCTGGAATGCAATGGTGCAATCTCAGCTCACTGAAACCTCCGCCTCCTGGGTTCAAGCGATTCTCCTGCCTCAGCTTCCTGAGTAGCTGAGATTACAGGCACACGCCACCATACCTGGCTAATTTTTTGTATTATTAGTAGAGATAGGGTTTCACCATGTTGGCCAGGCTGATCTCAAACTTGTGACCTCAGGTAACCCACCCACCTCGGCCTCTCACAGTGCTGGGATTATAGGTGTGAGCCTGGGAATGTAGATTTTATGCTAAGATAATGACAGATGCAATGGGAGGGCTTTAAGCAGGAAAGTAACATGAGCTGACTTACATTTTTAAAGACCCATCTCACTGCTGGGCAGAGAACAGACTGTAGTGAGGTAGGAATGAGGAGACAGGAAATCAGGCTATTTCTGTAGTGTAGACCAGAGATAAAAGTGGACTAGGGAGGTAGGAGTACAGCTGGAGAAAAACAGATTTGGTATGTGTTTTAGAGGTAGAGTAGAAAGGTTTTACAGATTAACTGAATAAAAAGGTTGAAGGAAAGAGAGGAATAACCTCTGTATTTTTAGCTTGAGTAACTGGAAGAATAATGGTTTAGTTTAATGAAATAAAGCATATTTAAGGAGGAACATGATTGGGATAAGAATAAGGGTAGAAAATAAGAGTTCTGTTTTGTTCCGGTTACATTTGAAATGCCCATCATATATCCATTTGGAAATGTGCATAGGTACCCGGATCAGAATCAGGAATTCTAGGGAGTTCCTCTTACTCTTTCTCTGATTTCATAAGACACTGCAGATAAAACAGTATGAGGAAAATAGTTTTTAGAATGCACAATGTGAGTATTGGTGATAATCTAAAGCAGTGAGACAAGCTGCTGCGCTCTTCATGAAACCACTTCACTTATGAAATGTGAAGCATCATTTTTGCTGGGCAATATGACACAGAAAGAGAGTAAGCCTGAGGGTCAATGAGATTCATGCCAAGGGGGTTAAGTCATATGATATGGCCTCTATTTCCTAAATCTTATAAGATTACAGGGCAGGTACTAGTAAGAGGTCAGAGTTCCAAGTAGGATACAATCAAGGAGTGCTTCTGAGAATTCCATCCTACATGAAGGGAGCCCAGTGCATATCTGAGACAAAAATATCTTTTAAGTACACATAAAATAACAACTGCTCTACCTGCTATCTGATAGGAGTTTCCATGGAAACTGTCAGAAACAATTTCTTTAGAGTTATAGTGATTACTGACAAAAATAAGATGGACATAGAGTAAAATAAGAGCTAAATTTACAAAATGAAATGGGCCATATTAAATAACACAGCTCTATTAATATTAAATTCTGAGTAATCTGATTCAAGCTAGTTGTATTTAAGCATGACAGATTTTCTTAAAATGGCTATTTTGAGCATACATATCAAAATGAGAGAGAGAGATAAGAAATCATATTTGTTGTATATAAGTCATTAGTCTTTAATACACATCAGCAATATTGTAAAAGACACATATTTTTAGGAAAGATAACTAAAATTTATTGAGCAGTTACTAAATATCAGGGGTTTTGCATATAACATCTTGTTTGATCTTCACAATAATCTCTCCAGGTAGGTTTTATTAACATCATTTTTACAAAGCGGGAAGCTGAATCTCAAAAAGATATAGCTTCCTCAGGATCATACAGGTAGTAAACAATAGAGCCTGAATCAGACCCAGGTATAGGTGAACACCAAATGTACACCCTTTCATTCAGCTCTTAAAGGAGGCCACAACCCACAAGAGTCCAGGAGACTTGGGCCTATGTTCTCTTCCAATCACAAGAATCATCTTTTTGATTAGTTGACGGTTAGATTAGTTAACTGAAAACAAGGCTGCTATATAAATTCCTTAAAAAAACAATGTCAGGCATATACAATTCAAAGTTTTGTTTTGCCCAGAATATACAATAAAATTTTAACAGGTACTGATTTGCCCATCAAATTAAATTAACAAAAGAAAGTTAATCAAAGAACATAAAGAGAAACAAGTAAATGAAAAGACTCGAGTACTATGTTGAAGCTTACTTATCAGCTGCCTGATAAACTTAGGGAGCCAAGGTAGATAAGCTCATGAGGCATTATAAAAAAGAATAATCTCTTAAATTATCTTTGTCATTTAAGAATAAAAGCAAAAGTGCCAAGCTGTTTCTTACCACATCACAATATGCTATAACCATTATTCCAAGTAATTGAACTGTATTGCCAAGGTGATTGCTACAGCTGACCAACTCTGCTAACTTAATATAACCGTAGTGGCCACATGAGAAATGGAAGCAATCTAAGGTATTGAATGTTACATTCCTTCTCTAATAATTATTTAACTTATTTTGGCTGTTGAATTTCTTTATAAATTCATGGTCTTGTACATTTTACTTCAAAGGTCTTTAAAGAAAAACCTGAATATCTAGATCCCTCTTTCAGTTCAAGCAGTCAAAACAAATTTCTTTCAACCGCAGCAAATACTGGTACATTAGCAGTCAGAGCACAGCTCAAGCATGCACACACAGAAATATAGGACTCACGCTAAATTCCATAAAGAGGAGAAACAAAAAACCAAAAGAAGAAACATATCCAAAAGGAATATGACGTGTTAAAATACATAAAACAATGCAGGTACATTGAAAATGAATTTTTCAAAATCAAGATACTACTGGCTTTCACGTTTGGCAATACTGGATAGTTTCTGGCCAAAGTACCAATGAAAAGCTCAGCTGTGAAGCAAGGACATGCTTTAAAATAATTGTCAAATGAAATCGCACAATAAAACATATGCCTAAAAGATAATGTCTAAAGAACTACAATAGGGGAAAGCAAATCATTTCCAATATAAATGGAGTATTTCTAAATAAGAAATTATAAATGCAAACCACTCAGAGTACTTAAATGCAAACACGACAGACCACATTCAAAACACAATGCAAAGTTAAGCCTAAACACCAGCAGGAATGGTACTTATTATTTTAACAGATACAAATTTTAAGTGTGTCTTTATAGTTTTAGTAAGTTTTGGTTAAATGAACTCCCAAAAAAGTGCCAACACTGAAAGTAATTTATAAAGATTCATTCTTTAAAACGGATTATAACACTAAAGTTTGATATTTTTCTAGTCTGTTTCTTGGTGCATTCTATTTCAATTTGATGATACAGTACTGGAAAAGCTTCTTGTATATGCCTTCAAACACTCTATGTAATGTTAAAGCACAGTTCTTGGGTTTAGAAATTTTCAGGACTGTTGATGCATAAAAGCTGTCTTTAGGCCGGGCGCGGTGGCTCAAGCCTGTAATCCCTGCACTTTGGGAGGCCGAGACGGGCGGATCACGAGGTCAGGAGATCGAGACCATCCTGGCGAACACGGTGAAACCCCGTCTCTACTAAAAAAATACAAAAAACTAGCCGGGCGAGGCGGCGGGCGCCTGTAGTCCCAGCTACTCGGGAGGCTGAGGCAGGAGAATGGCGTAAACCCGGGGGGGCGGAGCTTGCAGTGAGCTGAGATCCGGCCACTGCACTCCAGCCCGGGCGACAGAGCCAGACTCCGTCTCAAAAAAAAAAAAAAGCTGTCTTTAAACATTCTATTTCCCCATTACTACTGAATGACTCTGCTAGTGCTTAAAACCACTTTAATTCTTAGTAGAAAAGCCAAGATGGAAAACAGAACTCGGTGCTTATAATGAAAGAAAGCAGAGTCTAGAGATATATGTCCTCCTGTTCTTTTAGTTCAAAGAATCAGAAATCAATTGGCATTGTTACATATAATATTTTCTCATTTAGCAGATGACACCCAGAGATAGAAATCATTTTAGTTCCTTAAAGAGCTTTTGTTTTCTCCTGTTTGATTCTTCCTTAAGCTATTTCTTATTTATTTTCTTCAAGATTTTCCTCCTCTATCTTGCCAGAACAGGACTTGAAATATAAATGAAAATGAATGAAGAGGGAGAAACACTTCTGAAAGGCTATGGTGAAGCCAAGGAGTTTTCACTGTGTTTGGGGGTGCTCATCTCACATTTGCCTGTTCGTGAGTCCTGAGGCTTGAAATATTCTGCTTAAAAGGCATTATAGAAAAAGTAGCCTCTTACCAGCAGCCTTCTCCGGGTTTTCTAGCACATAATAGGTTTTAAATGGCCCAAGTTAAGCCATAACTACAGAAAAGTGCTCTAAATGTTTCGGTTTTCATTTCAGCTATGTGGCCACCTAACGAAATGTGTGTCTTCTTCCCTAAAGTGAGACTGAATACATCCAAAGACCTAGTTCCTAATGGGAATGCATAGGTAATCATGTCTGGGTCCATGAATCACTCAGATTGTTTTCAAAATCCTGTGCACACATCTGGAGAGCAATTCCATAGCTTTCATCCAGCTCTCAAAGGGGTGCATCAACACAACAGTCAAAGAGCCATTGTGCCAACATCTGTTCCAGCCCTTATACCAGGATGGCACAGGATAAAGGCCAAAGCACATGTCCTTAAAATATTCCCTGGGGTAAGTCACTTCCTGTCTATGAAAACGTATATATTAATAACCTGCTTCACAGTAAGCTGATGAAGAATAGATAAGTGGGATGTTGACCAAAGATTCCTAATTTGTAAAAGTTACTTCCTTCGTGGCAAGAAGACAAAAATCATTTAAAAAATACACTATGTGCACATTTGACAATGGGAGCTCCCAGACACTGAGGAACTGCCTCTGCTCAAACAGCTTGCAAGTATCAGGGCTGGCACTCCACTTTCTGTCCTTTTCAAACCCCACATGAGAAGAACACAATAGGCCACATTCAAAACACAATGTAAAGTTAAACCTAACACCAGCCTGGTACTCAGGCCTGGGCCCACCAAACAAGAAATAAAGACATAATGATATCTTATAGTGAAATCAACCGTCAGAAACAAAGGTATTTAAAATTACCAAGTGACCCTTTTGGGGTCTACAACACTTACCAGACCTTAAGAAAGTAGAAGACGAAGAGACGACTGCATCAGGTGAGCAGGCCATTTCAAATTGTTGGCTCTAATCATAAGCGTCGCAGGCTAAGCTACAGCAATTTTAAAACTGTTTAGTAAAGGTTAGAAGCAATCAGTGTTAAATTAATTGAAAGCAGTGTGAGCAGTTATTAACATGATGCAGTGCGCAACGAAGACAGTAACTGAGGATCATTATAATTTTATTTTCTCTTTTATGACTTGAATATGTGATTTTCTTTGCTTTGATAAATTACACTTGCTCATATGGATGAGACAGGAACTATATAATATCCACTTATTAAATATTACATAAAAGTAGTATCCTCTATTGTGCAGTGAAGTAATTATGCTACTATGTAACAATGCTCAGAACTCTGTGAGGAGGACTCTATGCTCCAGGCAGGTTAGTCGGTTTCTAACAAAGCTCCATTTATATATTCTTCTAAAAGTAACAAACAGAATCAAGTTGATTGCTTTTAATGACACAGGAAGTTTTTAACTCGAGTTACTAACTTTATCATCTGTACTTCATATACTTATAAGAATCTGAAACCTCAAATTTAACTACTAATTTGGAGTAATGAATTCAAGTGGTATCTCTTTTTACTACTAGGATGTAAACATACAGGAACATTCAACATTGATACTATGCACTTTCCATATAAAAGTGGATTTACATAACTGCATTCAACAACAGTTAACACTAAAATTTTTTTTCTCAGCTAAGAAAAGAGAAGTAAGGTTTTCAAAGCTTACTGTTAACGACATGCATTTCAGAGGAAACAAAGACTAACGAAGAAAATAAACTCTATGTGCTTATGAAAGGAAAAGAGAAATCTTGCAAAAATATATGTTGGGGGCAGTTCTCAGGTCCCTGTAAGAAAACTCCGGTTACTCTCTGTTTAGATATAACCAATCCAATAACACTTTTATATCCAGATAGCCACATTGTTAGTAGCCAACTCAGTATTTCTATATGACTCAAAAACAATTTAAGAAAAAGTGTGAAACAAATACATCTAACTATTCCAAGTCACTTTATTGATTTTTAGTAGTACTAAGGACTACTTTTTGAAAAAATTACCTCATACTTCACAGTTGGTAATTTTACTATAACTCTGAGTAAATAAAGCTCAACTTTTTGTAAGGTATAAAAAACAGAATGTTGGGTGTATGATTTCTGAAATTAGATTTTCAGAAATTAGATTTACTTTCTCCAAATTAAAAAAAAAAAAAAAATGTGCACAACAGACAACTAAGAACTTCATAAATGGGAAAAGCCCAAAACATAAGGGGGACATATTAGCTGAGAAAATAATTTCTTTTTTTCCTTTTTTTTTTTTTGAAACGGAGTCTCCCTCTGTCACCCAGGCTGGAGTGCAGTGGTGTGACCTCCACTCACTGCAGCCTCTGCCTCCCAGGTTCAAGCAATTCTCCTGCCTCAGACTCCCCAGTAGTTGGGGTTACAAGTGCCCACCACCACGCCCAGCTAAGCTTTGTATTTTTAGTAGAGATGGGGTTTTACCAGATTGGCCAGGCAGGTCTCGAACTCCTGACCTGAGGTGATCCGCCCACCTCGGCCTCCCAAAGTGCTGGGACTACAGGCATGAGCCACCGCATCCGGCCGAAAATAATTTCTTAATATCAATGCAAGTGCAAAGTTAATTTTCCTAGCTAAGGCCTTTCACACTACCGTCCCCGCAATGATGCAGTTCTTTAAAAGGGAAGCTCCTTAGTTGAAAACCTGTATTCTGCCTTCCACCTTTCCTGTTTAAGTACATGCTTTTTGCTTAAGATTATATCCAGCCAGCCAGGAATACGGGAAGTTTTAATCCCAGCTTTTAGAGGAGTCATCAGCCACAAGTGCTGATAATGCCACAAGTCATGACTTGCAGTTTGAACAAGTCAGTTCGGGACACTTGAAACTGTTAAAACTGCCTGCAAGGCACCTTCTGACCTCTACGCTTTCTGGCTTGGTAACCACACAACCTGGAACCACTTAAGGAGCCCCTTTTCCTTCTGAGCCCTAACTATGCACTTCAAGATCTGAGGCCCAGTCTCCTTCAATTTCTGCTAGACAGACGACAGGTCTACTGCTTAGAACCTGTGGGAATGTAAAAGGGATATAAGACATAAGGCAAGGAGCAGACGCCGGCTTTCTGCAGCCCGATCGTAGTTACATCTGACTTGATCTGATTAAGCTATCTGACTTTTGGGGAGAACATTCACAGGGAGGACACATTCCCTTTCCCAGGAATGTGCCGCCGCCAGATTTTTAAGTTAGAAGACTCTAAGGGAAGTCCGGACCGCTGCCTACTTTCCGAGTGGGGATCATAAGTTGAATAGAGTCGGGGGCACACACACAATGGAGTAGGCATCGCCACCTAATTTTTAGAGGTGGATGAAGATATCAGAAGCAAGGTCAGGGCCGCCAACAGTTTCTAAGGGAGAACTCGGGGCACAGGTTCATTCCCAGGGCCCGCACCTGCCTCCCACCAAGGTGCTTGAGGAGAAGCACCACCCCAGGTACTCGGGGAGGGGGGCGGCGCCCCAGCCAGCCAAACCTGAGCGCTTGGTCCGAGCTCTTCGCTCCAAGACCTTCCAGCTCACTTCGGCCGTGAGCCCCGCCGCCCCCGCCATCGCGCTCCCGCCGCCGCCTTGGCCACCGCCCCCGGGGCCGCCTGTCAGCAATGCCTGCTCGGCCACGCCCCCCGCACGACACTGTCGGGAGGCGCGCCTGCCGGAAGTGAGCGTGAGGGCGGCTTTCACCCTAGCTCCGCTGTCTTTTTAGCGTCGGAAGGGCAGCCCTAGTGGGAGAGAGAAAAAGGATCCGGCAGCGGCTCTTACGCGTCCCGGGGCTGCTAGTCACTCTCTCGGCCGGTAACGCGGTGCTTTACGGCTGCCGTCAAGCGCGGCGCTGGGCCGGCGGGCGGGGGCCGAGGGGCTGCCATGGCGGCGGCGGGGCGGCTGCCGAGCTCCTGGGCGCTCCTGTCGCCGCTCCTCACGGGGCTTGCACTACTGGGAGTCGGGCCGGTCCCAGCGCGGGCGCTGCACAACGTCACGGCCGAGCTCTTTGGGGCCGAGGCCTGGGGCACCCTTGCGGCTTTCGGGGACCTCAACTCCGACAAGCAGACGGACCTCTTCGTGCTGCGGGAAAGTCAGTGCTTGCCGGGCCCTCCCTCTGTTCGCTGTCCGTGTGCCCCTCCCGGTGTTCCCTAAACCCATTGCCCAGTGGCCGGTCCTTTAGCATTTCCTGGCCTTTCTCTCCCAGCCCTGTGGCCTTCCCTTTAGCATTATTGACAGTTTGCCCTTTTGCACCACCCTTTCCAACCCCAAGTTCTGACCCAGCCACCCTACAGTTTGACCTACCCCCTGACAGCACCCCAGTTTTTTTCCTAAGAAGTCTGCAGCCTTCTCCCAGTCACCCTTCCCCCTCCTCCCTATGGAATCACTTGCCTTCCAAAGTGCTTCCTGATTCTTAGGAATCTTTGTAGCTTGCCTCAACGTTCGCTCCTAAGGCCCTCTCATTCCATTCTATTTTGCTTCCGTCTTCCTTCCCCGTTGATGAACAGGAAAAGGTGCAGCTTGACAATGTCTTCTCATAGGGGGCTTCTCCTTGCCTCCCCACCTACCTAATTCGCCCCCCGCCCCCTCTTTGTCAAGGCCACAGCTTTCTTTGAAGCAAATGTACCCTTCCAAGGGCGTAAACACTCAACAGCTCACACAAGCATTTTGCAGGGACCACTGATAAAACCAATGCCTCCTTGGGAAAGCAGTCTCAAACTACAGAAATTTCTCTCTTGAGCTGCCTGTTCTTTCGTGTACACTTTCCTCACCTTGGTCATCACTTTAGTGTTCCAAATCTCTACTTTCTTTGCTAACTTGTTCTTGGAAATTATTTCCTTTGACCATCATTAAACTAACTTTTTTATAAATCTTAATGCTGACAGTGGGCATTAGGGGGTCTTAGCGTTCTTGAGTACCTACAGAAGCAGGTGCTGCTTAAAGATCAATGCCACGAAGGAAGGAAGGAAGGAAGAGCTACTCAGAGCTTGTCTGACAGGATCCTGAACCAGACTTCTTGGGGCCCTTGCCAGGATGCAGGAGCCTCTTACGGACCCTGAATATTTTCCCAATCTTTTTGACTCCTCATTTTGCAATGTACTGCCAAAAACTTGTTGCCACTCTGTCCAAACTGGATACAGAGAGTAGCATTGACTTTAAAGATGGCCTGTGTTTGATTAAACAATTCCAAAAGTCTGTCTCAATGAGTGCTAATTGAGCTCCAAGAATGTGTCAGCCTCTAGAGGATGGCCCAATAGGAGAAGGGTCTTGGAGGATTCAGCGTTTTATGCTCACATGCTTAATTATGTCCTTGTCAGATATCTACAATGGGAGTCCCTGCATCTTTGGTGTGATGCATCTGTGTAATGAACCAAACAGCCTTACAAGAGGCAGCATTGCTAGATTCGGGGAAGACAAGTCTTGACATGTGGTATAGTTATAAGGCATCTTCTTTATATGGTTCTTTTAAGTCAACCAATCTGACTCCTTGCAGAATCCACTGGCTTCAGTTTCTCTTGATCAGCTGCTTTTTCCCATGTTCATCCTTTCTATTCCTCTGCTACTTTGAACATTGAACTTGTGATACAATGTTAGGCCTCTCCATTGGCCTGGTGGAACTATCCTTGAGAGGGCAGATGAACTGGAGTAGAATAAAAGTTTTCTTGTTGAAAACAGTGCCCAGAAACCTTCTTATAACCACTGATGGGGTATCTTACCAAGAAACATTTTTCTAATATCATATATTTGTTTCCTTTAGGAAACGACTTAATCGTCTTTTTGGCAGACCAGAATGCACCCTATTTTAAACCTAAAGTAAAGGTATCTTTCAAGTAAGTACAAATATGATTATTTTGATAAAACATTAGTCACTAATGTAATAATGGATATGCCGTAGCTGATTGGATTATCTTTAAAGTCAGCCTTACCTATAATGTTGGGATGCAAAACCACTAGTTGTGAGATATGAGTAGGAAGTGATTTTTTTGGAAAAATAGTGAAAATACCAAAGTTTAAAAATGACTTTAAAGAAATAAATTTAAGTAGATCCAGGTTTGTTTCTATATAAACACCCTTTATTTCCTTGCAATCTCATACCCCTTCTTGAATGTGTCTCGTTCTGTGCCTCATCTTGAGGGAGCAGTTACTCACAGTAGTCTCATTGTGTTAGCCATGTGTTGTGTTTTGTGGAAGAGTGGCCTATTTTGCAGTGGGGAAAAAGTCAGTGTTCTAATTTTTTTTGTTTAATTGACTGATAGATGGTGAGTTTTTAAGGTTGACTTGGAAAGAATTCAAGTTTGGTTATCTGAATCTTTTAAATGTTCAAGTAATAGTTATTTTTCTTTTCTGTGGTTGGCATTACATGAAACAGTGACCACTCCCACACCTCTACCTCCATGATAGTGACCCAACACAGTTTTGAAACTACATTCATTTGAAACTACAAACTACATTTGGAGCAAGCATTTGTGACAGTCTGAATTCAAGCAAGAAGAGATGGGTCAGTGCAGGCCAAAGGGGCAGCTTCCAGAGTCGTGGAACTTGAGCTTGACCTTAGTATAAGTAAAAAGTTAGATGAAGACTTTCAACTTTGGGGACAGAGCATTTATAAGAGATAAAAGTAACAACAGCATGTTGTGAATAGGAGGTAGAAAGATCTGCCTGACAAAAGTGGAAGGTACACTTCAGGGAGTTAAGGACTAAGAACATGAGATAAGAAGCTTTCATGAGACTGGTAGCCTTCAGAAATATCAAAAAGACTTTGAACGCAGTCCCATTAGAAGAGGGGAATCATCAGGTCCTTGTGCAAAGGAGAGATGATGAAAACAGTATTTTAAATTGATTTCCTTGTAAACTAGGTCCAGAATGAATTGGTTTATAGAAGATTACAAGACTACTTAGGAAACTGTTTTTAAAAAGTCCCTGTGTGGACTAATTAGTTCTCGGACTCTATAGTATTTTAAGTAAACTCAAACTCATGTTAAAAAAAAATGGCCTTGAACAAGAACTTTGAGGGGAAAGTTATAAATGGATAAACAGGAACTTATTTCCCTTGAGAAGTGTTCCTGGGTAGTGAATGTCAGCATGCTTGGAGTGGGGAAGAAACTGAAGTTGATGAGTGTATATGAGAAGTGGACTAACTGCATAGAGGTGATTTTTTTTCTGATTAGAAATTAAGGAAATTTAAAGGATGTAAATGGCATATGTTCTGATAAGTTAAAACAAATATTCCAATTAAATTTTTAATGAATACAATGTACTTTCAAAACTTAGAAACTCTTGTTTGTGTTTTAATTTAGAATATTTTTCAAAGGAAAAATAATCTGTTCTTCACTCTTATACTTCCCCACACCCATATTTCTCTCTCAGATGCAACCACTTTTAAAACCTGTAGCTGATTCTTCTAGTGTTTATTACCATATTTTAAAATAAAATTTTACACTAATTTCTTGAATTATCATTGTTATTCATTTCTTGTTTTTTATTAACTTAATTTATCTACATTGTCCCAGTGTAGTTAAATCATAATTTTTTGTTGAATCAGTAATCATTGTTTACATTTTAAGCATGTAATGTCTATGTACTTCAAAACCAAATAATGTACAGTATTTTTTTTTTTTTTTTGAGACGGAGTCTCACTCTGTTGCCCTGGCTGGAGTGCAGTGGCATCATCTCAGCTCACTGCAACCTTCGCCTCCCGGGTTCAAGCGATTCTCCCGCCTCAGTCTCCTAAGTAGCTGGGATTACAGGCACCCGCCACCATTCCTGGCTCATTTTTTGTATTTTTAGTAAAGACTGGATTTCACCATATTGGCCAGGCTGGTCTCAAACTCCTGACCTCAGGTGATCCACCCACCTTGGCCTCCCAACGTGCTGGGACAGTATTTAATTTTTTGTGCAGCTTGCCCTGCTGGGATAAATGATTGCTTTTTAAAAAATAGATTGCATAGTTTTCTATGTACATATCCTTAATTTATTTGCAGATATTCTGTCATATCTACCATATACCTATCATGCATTTTTCTTTTTCCCATTGGATCCTCTGCATTGCTATCCAGTCTGGATTCATTCTCCAGGCCTTTTGCAGACTTACTCTATGGGGAATTTCCCCATTTAAAAAAAGAAATTTCCTTGTTTACTTCACGGGGGTGTGTCCTCCAGGAAATTCCTGAGAAAGGATGCATGATAAGTCCTGTTATGTCTAAAACCTTTTTCTACCCACTTTTTATTTTTTATTTTTTTTTAGAGACAGAGTCTTGCTCTGTCTCCCAGGCTGGAGTGCAGTGGCACGATCTCAGCTCACTGCAACCTCTGCCTCCCTGGTTCTAGCAGTTCTCCTGCCTCAGCCTCCTGAGTAGCTGGGACTACAGGTGCACAGTGCCACGCCTGGCTAATTTTTTTGTATTTTAGTAGAGACGGGATTTCACTGTGTTGCCCAGGCTGGTCTCAAACTCCTGAGCTCAGGCAATCTAC